GTCATTTTTATGTTATGAGTATGACGTCACAGTACGTCCCGGTCCGGGTTAGCCCGACGGTATTATTATTACTGACGACTGTTGTAATTTGGGAGTACTGATTTTTATACTGAAGAAAGTTAACGTGTTTGGAGGAGATAGCGGTCTATTTTGACCTGTAAGCATTGTCATCATTGTTATAGATGTTTTATTATTGTAATTAAATAAACGGTTAAAACTGAAATCGATTCCTTTTAATTGATTCTGGGACTATTGGGCAACCGCCCGTTACAATATATATACAGACGCAACATTCTTAATAGCCTCTGAAAGGGGAGATTTTCCCCGGAAAAGGGTTTCTTTGGGGGACAGTCAGATAAAAAATGGGGCTTGGTTTTTTTGGGGGGATCATTCTCAAAATGATCATTTCTCAAATGATCAAGGCAAACTATAAGGAGCGAATCAAATAACATGAGTATATACCGCCGCAAGTTCCGATTTTCCTTGCAAGAGAGTCAATTAGACCGCATCGATCATACATATGTGAAAAACAGGTAGCGAATCAAATAACATGAGTATATATATACAGACGCAACATTCTTAAAAACCTCTGAAAGGGGAGATTTTCCCCGGAAAAGGGTTTCTTTGGGGGACAGTCAGATAAAAAATGGGGCTTGGTTTTTTTGGGGGGATCATTCTTAAAATGATCATTTCTCAAATGATCAAGGCAAATTATAAGGAGCGAATCAAATAACATGAGTATATACCGCCGCAAGTTCCGATTTTCCTTGCAAGAGAGTCAATTAGACCGCATCGATCATACATATGTGAAAAACAGGTAGCGAATCAAATAACATGAGTATATATATACAGACGCAACATTCTTAATAGCCTCTGAAAGGGGAGATTTTCCCCGGAAAAGGGTTTCTTTGGGGGACAGTCAGATAAAAAATGGGGCTTGGTTTTTTTGGGGGATCATTCTTAAAATGATCATTTCTCAAATGATCAAGGCAAATTATAAGGAGCGAATCAAATAACATGAGTATATACCGCCGCAAGTTCCGATTTTCCTTCCTTGAACATAAATTAATAAATAACATATAGCACATAGACTAACTAATTTCTTATCATTTCAAGACATGATTTTGAAACCGACAATTCCTGAAGATATTTATTGAGTACATATTCACTTTCAACTTCTGCTGCTAGGCCAATGAAGGTAGTCGTCGAGTGAACACTCTTTACACCACAGTATCATATGAAGGAAGAATCACAAAGACTTTTAATATAAACAAGATAATTTTAATAATAAAGCACATAGTATAAATAAAGAACACATCTATTTATAATATCACTTGAAATTTGCCATGGACAGAGAGAGGAATAGAACAGTATATCATCTATGGTCAAATATACAGGATATCGTGGGTCCAGCCCGAGAATGGCCTTATCTAATACGAAGATTATTTTGGACACCGGATCTCCGACACTTCCAGAGAATTCTGATTGTTACATTTGCTTTTGTGAATGGACTAAATCCGGTTTTATGTTTGGAATGGGTGGATGTAATGCATCTTGCGCGAGATCGTGCTGCAAGAAACCATTTCCAAGCACTGTTCAGGTTAGTATAAAATTCAACATTAGTAAACATTATAAACATTAAGGAAAACGTTAATAATTAAACAACATATATACATTAAATAAAAGAAGCCGGTAAACACAACAAATGTTAATAGGAAAGTGAATTATCAAACTGTAAAGAACACAACAAGTAAAATTTTAACTATTAATAAATTTCAGATTATTTGAGAATGGACGAAACTATACATTATATGCATGGAACGTCGCTATGCGACAATACCAATATCTGGACGGGTCAGTTAGAAGATACGGCAGTAAAAAAAAGAAATAATGTGTAAAATTCTGAAATCGATATTTTCTTATTTTTTTCATATCTTGGGGCTATCAAAACTGGTCTTTAGATGAGATGAAATCAAGGTCACGTGGTTAATAAATGGTAATATTTAAGGGTTGGACATTGAGGCACGGGTAACACTAGATTTGAGATGGCTTCGAGAAAAAGCGGGGGCAATTACAGATTGCGTAAAACTGATAATTTGATGGAACTTTCACCTACAGATTAGGAAAACCCCTGGAATTTTTATTCCTTAATGACTTTAAGTGATGAATTAGTGTATGAATGGTTGAGAACACAGGGTCTGTTAGCTAGCTCAGTGCCTTGCGTTGTCCCCGATTGCGAGGGGACGATGCATTTACGCTCCTCCTCACGAAATCCTGGTGGTTCCATATTCCGCTGCAATGTAGACAGACTTCACACGAGAAATTGTAGAGCCAACTCATTTTTTGAGAAAACGAATTTCTCGATTCAGGACATTATTTAATTTATAAAGTCTTATCTTGATGGTTGCTCACTTGGACAATGCGCGCGTTTTTCCGGGGTTTCCTATAACACGACAGCTGTTCACTGGGGCTCGTACATAAGGGAGCTGTTTAAGGAACACTTCCACAACAACATAAAAAGAAAACAGCTGTCTGGTATCATCGAGATCGACGAGTCACTGTTCGGTCGGCGAGTAAAACACAACAGGGGAAATCCCAACTGTGGATTAAAGGTAATAAACAACCAAATTTGCATATCTTGCAGAATGGAATAAACAAACATAATGAATAAATATTGCAGTATTGAATCAAGGTAATAAACAAACATTGTTGGCATGTTTTGCTCTATTTTAAAGAAATTGAAGGAAAACATAAATAGAAGAATTAAACTATATAATATCTACATTTATAAAAGCCAATGAAATAGCATATCTTGCTGAGAGGTTGCTATAAATAAACACTATTTACATTTCAGATTTGGGTGTTTGGAATGGTCGAGAGGGAGACAAACACCATTATATTATACCCCGTAGCAGACAGGAAAGAGGAAACATTGCTCCCAATCATTCAACGCCATTGTTTGCCTGGGAGTTCCATCTACAGCGATGGGTGGTCGGCATATTGCCCACTAAATGATATGGGATATGAGCACTTCACAGTGATACATAAGTATGCATTCAAAAAGACCTATGTCAATGCGGAGACAGGTGAAGAGAAATCCATCCACACCAATCGTATTGAGGGGGCATGGAAGCATGCAAAAGAGCACTTCAAGAGAATGTCAGGAACTAAAATTTCACAGTTTGAGGGTCACATGGCAGAGATTATGTGGAGGAATCATGTGAAATCCCACCTGTATGATGGATTCTTCAATCTTGTGAAGTAAGTTATTTAATTATGTTCCATTAAATAATATTACTCTAGAGAGGTATAATTTTACTTCACATATTAAAGAATGTTATTATATAATAGATCAGTTTACCCCCTCAATGCCCAACCTACTTACAATTATACAACACCACTATTTGAGACGTGGGCTGGTGTTCCTTCCTGCGAGTTGGGAGAGTGGGATATTAGACCAGGTAAACATTTAAACATAAGTAGAACATTAAAATTAATGAAAAAGTTAGTATAATTCTAACAAAGAACATTATTAGTATTGTTGAAAACATGAAATTTTAAAAGATTTCCTTATCAATGAAAATAATAAATAATGTACATAATGAAATAATCACTCCCTGTGATAATGAAAAAATTGAAAATGGTTTTAGGAAACACTGATGCGGAGAGCGATTCGGAAGTTATGAGTACGCCAGAGGTTTCCTCCCTTCCTACACTTGTATCAGATTCTGAGGATTACGAATCGATTCCACGAAATCAAACTGCGAGTGAGAACACCATTCGGAGAAGAGCAGAACAGGCCCAAGAAGTCTCGGTTGTGGATGAGCTGATCCAAGGATCCGATCTGGACAAAACATTAACTCCTGTTACAGGTAAATCTACAAATCAAATGTATAACGGTAACACCATGTAATGAAATAGACATCATTTTATGCTATAGAAATGTTGATCTAATTTATTTAATATTGAATATCTTTACAATTAGAAAATGCAGAGGCTGCAGATATTCCTTCAACCAGTACGAAATCCTTACTGAGAAGAGGTGCCAGTCAAAAGGCAAAATCAAGTAAGATTTCAGTTTCAATATCTTACATGTACAGTAGATAAAAAGTTAACAAATTTATTCCAAAGAATTAATATTACCTTTGCTTTCACATGTTAGGACAAGCAGTTGCTGAAGTAATCATCGTGGACAGTGACACGGATGCAGAGGAAGATCACAGTAGAGCAGGTACAGGAAGTCCACCTATAATGATAAATTATTTAAATTTTTTAAGTCAATTCTATGTACAATACTAAATATTAATTCAATATATAACAATGTTTAATACTTTTCATACTTTATGTACTGTTCAATGCCCAGAGAGAGATTGAGAAATGTAAATGCGTATGTCTTTATTCAACTTCATTCATAGGAATATTCGCTCATATAGGTTTCATCATATGTCATAGTTCTCATACAATCCATAATACATCATCACATGACTGACATCATACATTCATCATACGTCAACATACGGTTCATCATACGATACCTCATACGATTTACTGTAAAGTAAATAAACAAAATTGTAAACAAAAAATTTTTGTAACACAATGCAACACAAATAAACAGAGACAATTCGGACTAGAAAATTGACAGTGCCAAGGCAATTCAGACTAGAAATATATGCCAGAATATATGCTATCAATATCACAAACCCCAAAATAATACTTTATAAGTTAACGTTCTATATATATTACTAAGTATACATGAAAATATCTAACTTTCGAAACTGGTGTTTACAAATGGATATGAGAGTTATCGCCCTTGCGATACACAGTTTAAGCCTAATGCAATAAACACCTATCCCAGACCTATCAATGAATCTTATAAATAGTTTAAGAATATTGTGTTCAATTTAATAAATCTGTAAATGTAGCTTTACATAAGAAGTAATGATTATCCAAAATGCTCGACTATGTAGACCATTATCCGAGTATAAAAAATACTGATTCATAAATAAAATACAAGAAATGCATACAAATACATATGGGTGTGCTGGTGTTTGAATAATTGGCTTACCGAATAAGTAGTTTTTCCCCAATTCCAGAGATGCATTGAACAAAAGTACAGACCAGAGAACGATACCTTCCAGCGAATGTCACTGCCCGTGCAGTACTCAAGAAAATTATGTGTACCCAAAAACTTGTGACGTAATACACTGACATAATGGCGCTAAAATTTGAACATGAGCAAAATGGCTACAACAACCCAGCCCCCTAATTGTGGAGCATAGTGACACAATTATTTCCAAAAAAGCTTAATTTCAAAACAATTTTCATACAATGTTTTGATAAAAAAAAAATCTATGACAAAATTTACTATGTAGAACAAATGTTGTCAAATCATGAAACCTGCATAAATGTACAAAATTCCAAAATAATTCTAACATAGTCCAAAAAAAAATCTACAAAAATTAATCCATTTCTAGAATAAGACACAATTTATCTACAGGACGGATCAAACTGTTCGTTGAAGTCTTAACTCTCACTTGACGCACAAAGCCCTTGTCATCTGGTAAAGTTTCTTGAATGATACCCATGGGCCATGAATTCCTCGGAGCATTGGAATCGACAACCAGAACGATATCACCCACTTTGAAGTTTCTTTTTTCTTCACACCATTTCTGTCTCTCTTGAAGTAAGGGTAGATATTCGCGCGTCCAGCGTTTCCAGAAAAGGTTTGCCATGTACTGAATCTGCTTCCAGCGTCGTCTACAATAGTTATGTTCTTTCACAAAAACACCAGGAGGTAAGTTGGGTTTTGTTTTCATTAACAGTAAGTGGTTCGTGTTAAGGCCTCCAGGTCATCATGTTGGTCTGAACATTTGGTAATGGGTCTTCCATTCAAAATAGACTCGATTTCGGACATCAAGGTATTGAGTCCTTCGTCATCCAAAACTTGTTCTTTCAGTACACTATTCAAGGTTTTTCTGACGGATCTGATGATTCTTTCCCAAACTCCCCCATGGTGAGATCCCGCAGGTGGATTGAATTTCCAGTCAATATTCTTCTGTAGCATAGAATCTTCAATCTGAGACACATTCCATTCGTTGATGGCACTCCTTAACTCCCGCTCAGCTCCTACAAAGTTGGTACCATTGTCTGATCGCATCCTGACAACTTGACCTCGGCGAGCAATAAAGCGACGTAGTGCGTTGATGTATGAGTCGGTGTCCAGAGATGCTGCTACTTCTAAATGAACTGCACGACTGGTCAAACATGTAAATAGAACTCCATATCGTTTCACATGACTTCTCTTTTGTTTTACGATAAATGGTCCAAAATAATCTACACCTACTCTGGTGAATGGTGGTTCATCTGGGATCAGTCTATCTTCTGGTAAACTGGCCATCTTTTGTTCTCCCACACTTGATCCTTGACGACGACATATTGTGCACTTTGAGACAAGTTTACGTATTGCTGAAGCTGCATGAACTAGCCAATATTTCTCCCTCAAAACTGCCATCATATGGTTTCTACCGCTATGTTTCAAGTCTTCATGGATTTGTCTGAGAATCAAAGTCGAAATGTGATGGTTCTTGGGTAAGATAATAGGATGTTTACATTCAATTGGCATATTGGCTCTCTGAAGTCGTCCTCAACCCTCAAAAGTCCATCTTCATCCAAAACTGGGTCGAGTTTCCGTATATAACTGTTTCGCTTCACATGTGAGTTTCCTTCTGCAAGAGTACTCAGTTCATCACGGAATGTTTCACGTTGTACATATCGCAAAATAGCGATTTCAGCTTCCTGTAAGTCCTGAAGCGAAATGTGTCCTAAGACATCTGGTGGAGATCTGACCCTTTCATTAGATGATGGGTTGTCAATAAGTTTATTTCGTTGAATACGATAAAGTAGTTTGCTGCGGATCCTCAAAATCCATGCCACAGTTTTCCTTAGCGTATACCAAGAAGAATGATGATTGATAGGTTTCTCAACACCCATCAGGTCAACACTTGGTTCTGCCTTGTGTACATCAGCTACTAATGCTCTAACTGATGCTTTTTTCGCTTCCTGATCATCTAGTATTTCACGCAAATTTTCTGTAATGTTTCTGGCCAACAATCAACAGAAGTATAAAGATCTACAAACTTCCTGTAATTTCTGGATGGCTCATGTATGTCATCAATTGTCGTAGTTAAACTGGTTACGAATCTGCTCTTCTAGCCTCCTTGCGTCAATGCGATTGATGGATACACAAATTACTGTTGTCGTTTGGAGTCACTTCCAGTGGTCCATTGATGACCCAGCCTAGTAAGGTTTTCACTGTAAAGGGACCATTTTCTGCACTAGGAACAAGGACTTTTTCTTGTCCCATGGTAACGAGATTCAACATTGTTCTCTTCCCCTCAATGTTTAAGGAATGCGCAGGAGTCTCTAAACAAAACGTAGCGTTGCTTCCTGAATCTAGAAAGGCATATGTTGTCACATATTTGTCACTGTATTTGGACTTTAGTCTAACAGGCACAATGGGTAATGCCTGCTTCACAGTTTCTCCAGCCCCCTTATGAGCAGCCACCGACAAAGCTGTTGCTTCACTGCCATCTCCATGACTTGAATTCTTTCGGCTGTCATCTTCCTTCTGTGGATTTACATGGAGAATAGTAGGATGAAGTTTTTGACAATGACTACGAGTCAATTTTTGCTTGCAATTAGTCTTGAGATGTCCAGGTATTAGACATGCAAAACACAAGCCCTTGGACTTTAGAAATGAATATCTTTCAAGGATACATTCACATACTTTCTACACACATCCAGTGAATGACCTCCGTTACAAAATATACAAGGATCCGAGAAAACACTTCCTGGCTTTTGTCTCTGTGTTGTATACACATCACTACATGCGCCTGACTTAACATTTTTTGATGATTCATTCATAGTAATCGCAAAGTTTTTGTGTGTCCCGGAAAACTTTACTGATTTACCGGGTTGACTACGCTGTCCGTCTTGAAAACCTTTGATTGTTGTTTTAGTGTTGCTCAAAATATCTCTTCCATAGATAGGATCTGTAGCTTTCTTCGCTTCTTTATAAACAAAGTTGACAAAATGTTGGAATTTCACGATCTGATGCTTTTCTTTAACGTCATACACCACGTTGCTCCATTTCTCATGTAAGTAGTATGGTAACTTTTCACTAACAATTTTAAGTTTTCAGAATATTCCAAAACTCTAGCCGCTTCCACGTTTGCAAACTGACACTCGTTAAGGAAAATGCCATAAGCGTCCAAGGCCTTTGCATCGTCAGTCTTTATAACTGGCCACTCTAATGCCTTTTTCACATACGATTGAGCTAATATATCAGCATCTCCATATCTGTCTTTAAATTCGTCTAGCGCTGCTTTGAATCCATGTTCTGCATCCATATGTGAATATCCTAAGACAATCTTGTGTGCTTCACCTGAAGTATATTGCAACAGGTAATTCAAACGTTCTTCAAAGGAGTCTGTATTTGAAGAAATTCTTGTGTTGAACTGTCTCAGGAATCTCTTGTAATCCATCGGATTTCCATCAAAGGTTTGTATAATCGACCTTGGCTTGTTCAGTTCTCGTGCAACAGTCAAGATTCCATGATCACTATTGGTCGGTGTCTGAATTGGCACTGAAGAACATGGTTGAGAAGACACAATATGCGGCACAAGGTTATCACTGACGTGAAGAGCTGGCGTCTGAGGTGGCGTATGAATATACGCATTGTACGTGTCTTGAGGTACGTTTCTTGGTAACGATTCATGTGAAGTGTTTTGAAATGCATGCGTATACTGAGGCAAATGTACGTAAGGTGTACTCTGAGGTAAAAACGTAGACTGAGGAACATGTACATAAGGTGCATTCTGTGGTTGACACATATAAGATGTTTCATGTGAGTATAAAGATTTTCTTCTGTCTTCCCATGGTGGTGCACACAGATTTAATGTTGCAGTTTCTTTTGTTTCAGGTTTGTCACTTGCATGATCTTTAAGAGATTCTTCTAAGTCCAAATTCCTCATAACACTCCTTTCCATTTCTTCGATAATTTTAGTTTTCGCATTCGTTATTTCTATTTCTGTTTTGATTTCAAGTTCTTCTTCTTCTTCTAAACTTTAACTTTTGTTGCATTTGGTAAAAAAGTCCTTTTCACTCATCACTCTTGTGCCTCTCTCCTGGCTGCTCTTCTGTATCACTTTCTTCTGCATCACACATGGCTGTTGATACTTATTCGTAAATGATGTACTGTTCAATGCCCAGAGAGAGATTGAGAAATTGTAAATGCGTATGTCTTTATTCAACTTCATTCATAGGACATTTGCTCATAGGTTTCATCATAATTGTCATAGTTCTCATACAATCCATAATACATCATCACATGACTGACATCATACGATTCATTATACGTTCATCATACGGTTCATCATACGGTTCATCATACGTTTCATACGATTTACTGTAAAGTAAATAAACAAAATTGTAAACAAAAAATTCTTGTAACACAATGCAATACCAATAAACAGAGACAATTCGGACTAGAAAATTGGCAGTGCCAAGGCAATTCAGACTAGTAATAAATTCCAGAATATATGCTATCAATATCAAAGATTATAACCAAAAATAATACATAAGTTAACGTTCTATATATTACTGAGTATGCATAAAAATATCTAACTTTCGAAACTGGTGTTTACAAACGGAAATGAGAGTTATTGCCCTTGCGATACACAGTTTAAGCCTAATGCATATAACACCTATCCTAAACAACAGATATGCAATCCTATCAATGAATCTTATAAATAATTTAAAAATATTGTGTTCAATATATTAAATCTAAAAATGTAGCTTTACATTAGAAGAAATGATTATCCAATATGCTCGACTATGTAGACCATTATCAGAGTATAAAAAATACTGATTCATAAATAAAATACAAGAAATGCATACAAATACATATGGGTGTGCTGGTGTTTGAATAATTGGCTTACCGAATAAGTAGTTTTTCCCCAATTCCAGAGATGCATTGAACAAAAGTACAGACCAGGGAACGATACCTTCCAGCGAATGTCACTGCTCGTGCAGTACACAAGAAAATAATGTGTACTCAAAAATTCATGACGTAATACACTGACATAATGGCGCTAAAATTTGAACATGAGCAAAATGGCTATAACACTTTAGATAAACAGAAGTCTTCTTCAAGAACTGGAAAGGGTTCAAGAACACAAGCATCAGTCAAGTCCGGGAAAGCACCTGCAAAAGAAGGTATTCATAAACACTTTACAATTATTCTGTACCCTTAATTACCAACTGTAGTAAAAATTAAATATTTCTTAACTTTGCTGCACATTCTTAAGACATATACATGTAAATAAAATGTTCAAAGCAGTAAAGAGTATTTTTTCAATGATTTTTAACTTCTTACATGTTAGATGGAGGCAAAGGTACTTCAACAGCAGAAGGTGTCAAGAATGTGGCAAGACTGGCAACATATAAAAGAGCACCTACAAAGAAAGGTATTTATTTGTATAAAACAATAATAACATTTTTAAATTGCAGTAATATATTTTAAAAATTTCAGGAAATATTAGTCAATGGGAAATAACTCTTGCTAAATTTTTGTGCTTAGAAAAATCTGTATACTGAAATGATTATTATTGAAAGCATTGAATTTCAGTTTGAATACTCAGTTATAAAACATAAATGAAAATAAAAATAATATCGACTCGATATTCCTATTTCTTGTCTTATTAATCTCATCATTTTTTAAATTCAAAGATAACGTACCAACCACCCGCCATAGGACTGATAAAGTATGCCATCCTCCGAATTTCCGTGAGAAGGATCCAGCCATCCCCAAAAGAAAGAGAAAAGTCTCCAATCGATACTCCCGGAATGCTTTTGTCTGGTCAGATGATGACGACTTTGTCCTGTAATGTCTGGGGATTTTGGCAACACGATGTTTCTGTTGTTGGACAATGCTTTCCATATGAAAATGACATAAGATTGATTTAATTCATCTTAAATTACATTAAATATAATTTAAAAGTTATATTGATTTAACATTTTTTCATAAAACGGTATCAATAAATAATATTTACTTGGATGGTAGAGGATTTAAAACCATGGATGTATTTCACGTCCTTCCTCTTCAATGCATCGCCGGAAAAGGCTGCTCTCTTGATGAACAATGTAAACGTTCTTTTCATTGGCTATTTAATCTTTAGACAACCAATCATATCAAGGCTATTAAGTTATAATGGTTTTGCGTAAATACTAAAAAACAGGAAAGCTCAGCATTTACCGGAATTAAACATTTGAGCCGTATAAATATATTGTTTTAACAAAGCCACATATTTTCATGTAATAAAGTAGCCAAACTATTTGCAATTCAATGAATTTGATGTTTATTCTGTATCAATATTTAAAATTCAGAAACATTCTATGGAACAAAAGTATTCCGTTTACAAACAGTGTTTGCCAATATTTGATCACATTTTATAGCAAAACGAAATAAGTTAATTGCAAATGATTTATATATAAGGTTTGAATAATTGCAGGATAATTTTTATAAGTATAAGATTTGCGTTTATTCCGTAAATAGCATATATATAAATTAATAAACTGAAACTAAAATAAACGGAATAAATAAATGTGCCTTAATCATTTAAAAAAATGATAATTTTAAGAATTGCGTTTATTCCGTAAATGAGATGATTTAATATATACAACTTTACGGAATAAAAAGCAAAATTTTAATTCCGTTTATTCCGTAAATGATATCATTTAAGATATACAACTTCACGGAATAAAAAGCAAAATTTAAAAAAAATTGTTTATTTCGTTAATGATATGATTTAAGTTGTACTATTTTACGGAATAAAAAGCAAAGATTTAAGAATTGCGTTTATTCCGTAAATGATATAATCTAAGATATACTATTTTACGGAATGAAAAGCAAAATTTATTTTATTGTACTTCATTAATTGCCTGCTGCTAATACGGAATAAATAGCATGTTTTTAAATTAATTAATATACATATCTTTTCGATTGATGGTATTAAAGCATTGAAAGAGAGAAATTGCGTCGGTATATACTCATGTTATTTGATTCGCTTCCTATAATTTGCTTTAATCATTTGCAAAATAATCATTTTAAGAATGATCCCCCCAAAAAACCAAGCCCCATTTTTTATCTGAATGTCCCCCAAAGAAACCCTTTTCCGGGAAAATCTCTCCTTTCAGAGGCTTTTAAGAATGTTGCGTCAGTATATATATACTCATGTTATTTGATTCGCTAAACGTTCTTTATAATTTATATGTTTTAAAAGAACCATTTTCGTTTGAAAATCTCCCCTTTCATAGAATTTTAAAATGTTGTCACTGTATATATATATATACTCATGTTATTTGATTCGCTTCCCAATCTTCATATATATAAACGAATCTTTATGAATCCAGCATTGGACCCATCTCTCTCTCTCTCTCTCTCGTGTTATTTTATTTCCTGAATTGAAGTTAAACTACTAAATATTCGTAAATAATAAAATAAACTTGAAAACATCAATAAAATCCCTCTTAGACAAAAAATGACGTTAACGTGTACAACGTCAAATTTATTCCATTCGCGAAGCGAATAACATGATTATGCCGATTCCAAAAGATATCGGCTAAAATGCCAGTAATTTTGAAAGGGAACTCTCATCAAGTGCTAGTCCCAAACTCCAAGCAGGTTTGTTTCGGTAATGAATTGGTAAGTGTGGGGATTATTAAATAAGTTCTGTTTATCTGTCTGTTTTAAAAAATATTAACTCACTAAAAAGGAATCTACCTATTATGATACAAATTAAAGGTCAAAGTTCAAGGTCACCAATCCACAATTCTGTCTGTTTTAGGACTTTGAGCTTTTGCAAGACAATTCATACCACAAATTACTATGGACTACAGAAGACCCCAATTTATATTAACGTCAAAGGTCAAGGTATCTGTGTGTTTTTACTTCAATGCGATATATTACGAAGCTTTTGAAATATCTGTGTGGTCCCACCTTACCTTAAAGTGTCTCTTTTAGTCCAATCCTAGATCCATTCAAACTCTTCTTTTTCCTTAAATGGGGGGGGGGGGGGGGCACAAATTCTTTAAAATAGCTTTTTGATCAAAAACCATGGGTTCAGAGTAGCTTAAGGGAGATGATGATTAAGAATATTACACTTATGTTTTGTTCTTCGCTCATTAACGTTTTTGTTTACATTCATGTATAATGTAAGTTTTTACTCAATATTTAACTTTATTTTCAGAATAAAAAGGCTTATGTTTTGGAGAAGCCGGAACTGAGCACGATCAATTCTCGGTATGCTGCTTCAGGAAAGACTCTGTTTTTTTTTTTGCAAGAAATAGTAGTGGGAAAAGTAATAGTTTCAACATTTAAGAGGGAGAACAGGCTCCTAAATAAAAAGAAAGCAAATGCTTGAAACTAATAAAAGCAGCAGATACACCGCAATATGGTGTAGAAATGAAGTATGATACCATTGTACGAAGTCTTTTTTTTTCAAATCCTGACCCCGGGGGCATGAATTTCACGATTTTTGTAGAGGAATCAATGCCGCTGTTAGGACGGCGCTCTATTAGTTAGTATATAGTAAAAATGAATTTATTCTTTGAAAAATCTTCTACTCTGTTTCTGTATGTTATTTAAAATAACAAAGTACACCTTTATGATAAGTAAGAGTGTCTCTTTTAAAATTGTGAATTTTATGACCCAGGGTCAGGGGTCTGTCTTAGGGTAGGGCTCTATTGATTAAATACTGAAAATAAATTATAAATAACAATAACTTGAATAAAACACAATTTTTATGTCCTCTGTGTTCGAAAAAAAAATATATATATATAATGGTATATCAAATAATTTTTAAATATTTTTTTTAAATAAGTGATATCCCATACTTCTTCATTCTAATCTTATTTAATATTTCTTAAGGCAGGTCCACACTTTTACGGATCCGGTTTTAATTTTACACACCAATATAAAATTTTGATTATCCTTATCTATTGAAAAAAAATCTTTTTGGATGATTAAAAATAATTTATTAAGTATATATTTGTTTGTTATAGTGTCATTGTGCACACAAAGCATTTAATATACATTATTTATAGGAATAACCACTTTGCACTCTGTTCATAGGATCTATATGTAATTTAGTACATACACAGACAGAGAATTCTTAATTGCCTTTATGGACCTAAAGCTTTTCAATTTTTTTAAACAAACTAACTTGAGATCTATTTATCTTTAATTTTCAGCCTATATCATCTTTTTAAATTTACTTTTTAATACGTTTTGCGAAGAACGATTGAAAAAATAGATATTCCAAAAATGGGGGTATAGGTGTTCAAAAGGCTGTTTTGTAAAAATTTTCTGGTCAACCATAATAAAGTATGTTTTTTTGCCAACCTAAGAAATAATTCTAAATAATTGTGAAGAAAGAATAGCATATAAACATATAAGATTTTGAGAAATATTTAAAATAAAGATATTTTGAGCTTTTTCTCTGAGAGATTTTGACAGAATCAACATAAATTTTTTAGTGTTTTCAAATAGAAATTTCAAATATTTTCTTGACAAATGAATATTTATGATTTTCTTAAGTTTTAACAATAATTGGATGTGATTTGGTACATAGCTAAATAAAATATGATGTTACACTTCTATACGTTGAATTTTTGCTGTTGCATTTTTAGAGGTATATACTCCGAGACATGTTGCATGAAAATTAACCTGCAAAGATATGTTTTTTATGGGTGTTTTAGTTAGATTATGACTTATTCTAGATTTTAAAATCAAAAAATAAAGAGTTTGACAGAAAATTCTGAAAGTACGGACCTACCTTAATTGATGGTCTTCATTACATTAAAAAAATATTTCTTAATTCACAATAAATGTTTCTTTAATATGACATTTTAATGCTTACTTTACAGTCATCCTCTTTATCTTTGTTTTCACTGGAATAATCTATTTTAAAACTATGTATATAATCAGATATTTCAGATATGGATACAAGCTTCAATTTATCGAATGAAGATGTCAGACTCAGAGGTATTATCCTCCTGTATAAACATTGCCAGAAGCTGCAGGTGTAGCACTATACTGCAGCCTCTCCATTGGGCCTGCAGAATTTTTTCAATTTGTTTAAACAGGTAAGAACTTGAGGTACTATGATGTTGTAAATTTTGAATTTACTAGGGGGAGGTATATGCAAAATTTACAACATGATAGTTTTGCCTCTGTCCTCAGTTCCTTCATTGTTTTTGGTTTTCGCATATATACATGGCCTCGAATGGATTGGTTTAGTCCCTTGATGGCTTTTTTGACGAGATCCGGCTCTGGAATGGTGAGGTCTGCCGCAGCTTATTGTAGCCGGAATAGGTAGGAGTCAAGTTTTTCATTTGCGCCTTGTTTGATATCGTCTAGGTCTAGGTCCTCATCAGTTTTTCTATACCTATCAAAGAAAGCATGTTTAAAGGCTGACAAGGACGACTTCGATGCTTGGGCCAGTTGGTAAAACCAGTGTTTGACAGGCTCGGTGATGTTGAACGGAATGATGTTCAATGCTTGGCTGTCTGTCATTTGGTATACGCTGACATAGGACATAAAGTTCAGCCACCACTGAACTGCTGACGATGCCCTGTCATATGGCGTGAGGTGCACGGTGACTCTGGGCGGGTTGGTCGTGGTAATGTTTGGTGTTGTTCTCACTGTCGAAATTGTTGGAAGCGGCAGTGAGATGAAGCCAGCCGGCCTCTCTGTTGAGTTGGTAGTGGTCGTCGTTGTGGACGATCTTGATGTAGTGGTCCTAGGGGGAGCTTCATCTTGTCCTCCACTGGCTTCCTGCTCTGACTGGGCCCTGGTTTGTACTCCAGTGTTTTGATTGTTAGGTTTCATCGTGAAAGGTCCGAATAGATCGAAAGGATTTTCCACCAATGGTATCTTTGAGTTTGATCTGGGGAATCGAGATGTTTTGTACTTGATGGGGAATAAGCTGTTGTGTGCAGGGGACACAAGTCTTGATGCACTGCGTAATAAAAATGACAAAGTCGGAATTAAAAGTTGTCGATACTTGTATTTGGCGACTCGCAATAGAATGTATATTTAATAACAAGTTATAAATCAAAGCATTTATAACAATATATGACAATCTTAATATGAGACAAAATCATTATACAATGAATTAACAGTCAAGTTTTTGTGTCTCAAAAATAAGAACAATTACAAGTTAAAATTAACAAAATAAATTGTTTAGTTTTCATAAAGAATGTCATAATTAAACTTTGGAAACATTTTATCAAGTACCAGTTACTATAAAGACCTATCTATATAAATCTAAAAATATACCTTAAACCTGTTAACAAATTATGCGATATTAGATAACAAAGGTTTCCTAACTGATCAATGCTTAGTTACACAAACAGAAATTTAAGCCAGAATTCATAAAATACAACAATTACCTTGATAATTAATTTACTGCAAATAAATTCCATCTTTTTCAACATTTAACTCAAAGGTAAAATGTGCCGAATGTGAAAATAGCCGTTTACTTTTTGTGTCTTACAGTACTGAAGAGTTCAAAACTAAAGGATGACTGCACTTAACGCCGGTTTTTGGGTCTTTTTCAATCTCTGTTTTCACATTTATTTTTGTTTTTATTTTTTCTCGGAAGTCATTTGTTATAGAGTTTGGTCTATTTCCAAATGAAATGCAATGTCATTAAGGTTATAAACTGCGCTGCAATAAAATAATTCGTTGTTTCCTTACCCCACCTCTCTTCAAATATCGGGAAATTAGATTTAACTGCCCTTGAATGAAGATAAGATTTATAAATATGCATAAGAGGTGGAGCTAATATTGTTATGAGTGGTCTAAATTTAGAACAGTAACTGTATTTATATTCAGTGTATTCTCTCTCTCCCTCTCTCTCGTCATATGTTTGTCACTTTTATCTTTTAAGTTTTCAAATAAAGTATATAACTAATAAAAAATAACATCGCCCGGTAGAAGTAGTCATTCTCATTGATAATCAAAAGCAATGGCTGATGTCAACAATTTGCGTGTTCGAATATAAGTGCCGACTAGCTCAGTCGGTAATGCACAGAATCAATGATATTCAGGTCCAGGATCGAGACCCGCTAACAGCAGTAAGACTTACTTTATTTTTCCCTTTGACAAAAAAGAAAGAAAAACATCACACTTACTTTTTAAAAAAAAAAATAGTTTCTTTCATAATTACTTTTCCCTATTAATGAGCGTGCTGGGGAATTTCGATTTTATTTATTGGATCTTACTTTAGATGTTCATATTAAACAATGGTTCAAAATATATAAACGAATCTCTATCTTCATGAAGACTATGAACATGTAGAGACATATAATGCACTCAAAAATATATAAAGATAGTAAAATGAAATGATTTTTAGATAAATGTAAGAATATTCTTATAGATATCTTAGAGAAGAAAGAACAGCCCGTGTTCGATGGGAATGGATTGAAACAGATATGGACAATCACTATCGCCCAGCAGAATGCGTGTTTCCTTACACGTCACGTGATGGAATATTAGTATTCACAGAGTTACCTGGGTATAGAAATCACGTGGATAATTATAATATTCAACAGGTAACAACGTGGTCAAAATGACCTGTTTACTATAGAGAAAGTGAACACAAGAGAAACAGTTTTTTCTCTTTTTAACCATGAGCGCATGTTTGTCTATTGATCTCCTTTTGATATGAGGTAATGTATATAAATATACAACTACCATAAAAAGGAGAACAATAGACAAACATGCGCTGACTATGCATTCAGCCTGTAAAAAGCTGGGCGTACTCATTATCCTATAGAGATTCCAGAATATGCGATGACCCCTCACTATAAAAACGACTTCGAACTTCGTTAATACGAACTATTAATTAACGTAATTACACAAAGTTGCAGTTAAGACATTTACCATTTCTACCATTAAAAGAAAAATGTCCATCTTTAAAATTTATTATGTCGCAATTTTTAAGTTTCCTTAAGTACAGTCATCCTTTAGACGCTCAGCGCAAAGATTCAAATTGATAAATGTACAAAGATCAGTGTTAGGAATTAAAAGTCAAAAACATACATAATAATAAAAAAGAAACTCATTTACATTTTAGGTTATCAACCAACATACTCAACTTATTAACTTTGACGAAAAAAGTTAATTAAATAATAAAAATATACATTTAAAAATTGAACAAAAATCAAGCTTTGCTATAAATTTAAGTCTTTACATTTTCTTAATAACCGATTAAAATAATAAACTAAAACTTAGAAAAATTTGTAACATACGTGCGTAGTAAAAATGACAAAGTCGGAATTAAAAGTTGTCCATACTTGTATTTGGCGACTCGCAATAGAATGTGACCAAAAACGGGTGCGAGCGCTATTATCAATTTCGACTGACCATGCAGGTAACCAATCAAAAAGCAGAATCAAGTGCATGGACAATTACCTTACGGTTGATTAATTTACGATTTTACCTGAGAGACATATTCTTTGATACCAAAAAACCTGACAATTTTAACTTACGGCTATATTGGCAGTGATTGAATTTTAACACTATAAATCTGCCAAACAAACATTGCAAAATTGAGTAAAATAGATGAAAGAGTAAAACAAGTTTCATGTCGCAATCGTATTAGCGTCATCCTTTGTTACAATAAATTTTTAACCGGGAAGTGATAAATGTTTTATAACCAACCTTAGATGACCACATGTGGTAACAAAAGAAACTACATGCCGAAGACTTAGAGAAATTAACAATTTCCTGATCTATTGACTTCGAGTAAATTTACTTTATAAAAATTTTTTCTTACAAATGAATTTCATCTAAAACATGTTAAAAGTACAATCTAAGTTTCCTTAGAAATATTTTCTGTAATTGAAATGATTTATAAGTTTAAAATAAAAATTTAAATAAAAAAGAAATGAAATAGAATTATAATTTAGATTTTATGATTACTTTATAAAACAGATTTCTTGACTAAAAAGGTTTTGAATTTACTTGAGGAGAGGTAAATGCAAAATTTACAACATGATAGTACTGTGAGTACTATGAACCTCCCATACGAATATAATGGTATTATACATATATTGCAGTGGAAAACCCATAAAGTGTGGCAAACCAAAAAAAAAAAAATAGGAGGACTTCCGGTTGACGAATGGCGGGGTGAGTGGTGTTTTTGGAGCTCCTAGGATATTTCTATTGTAAATAACTTTTAACACTCAGTCAGGCCAAATTGTTTAGTATTTCAATAATATATTACTGTGAGCATAAATACATGTTATGTACTCTTAATATTTCATAACAGTATTTTCTATACCTGTTGTAAGTGATGAGTTTGTCAGAGTTTTGTCTGGATCTGACTCCAACAGAAGCTTATCGATACTATCCAGACTGCATGTCTGCTGTTCCTGTCGCAGTCGTGTTATCACTGGCCGTTCTGTTCCTAGGGATGTCGGAGAAGTCATCACCGTCGGAAAAAATGATGCATTCCTTGGACGTAACTGGGTCACTTGCGCTTTCTGCATCCGATTCTGTTTCCGCATCCGTGTTCCCTATAATATAAAAACCTTCATCAGTTAAAATATATTTAGTTTATTATTTAATTCTTAAAATTACTTTCATACTAACTCTGTTAAATTATGTTAATACTAACTAATCAGTTTTACATTGTTACCAATAGTAACAGTTTATTGTTACACTGATTTGTTTTTGTTGAAATTAAATTTATTCTAATTAATTTGTTGATGTGTCCAATACTTTATTTTTGATATACCTGGTCTGATATCCCAGTCAGACAACTGGGAGTCTGGCAGACAGGTCCATGTGTCAAACAATGGGGTGGTGTATTAGTATGTGACAGGATTGTCGAGGGGGTACACCGACTTCACTAGATCGAAGAAGGAGGAAAAGACATCTGCGCTGATATGTGACCTCCACATTATTTCGGCGTGGTGTCCTTCAAATTGACTGATCTTTTTGCCCGCCATTCTCTTAAAGTGGTCTTTTGCGTGTTTCTACGCACCCTCAATGCGGTTGGTATGGGCATCCATCTCTTGCTGTGTTGATGTATTAATATACGTCTTCTTGAAGGCATATTTGATCTTGCCATGGCCAGCTTCTTTTCGTACTCAGACTTTGTGTCATCATCCAAATTATCAGGAGTCGGGATAAGTCAGCTTGATTGGCTTGCATCAATGCCGTTCTAAACCCCATAAAAGCTCTCGGACCTCGACGTAAAATGATGCTGATCAATTTCCTGTTTTTGTCATAGCTGGTTTTCTCAGCGTCTATCTGTTGTCTCATTTCATCGGTAATTATGTTTGAGGTGTAAAGATGCCCCGCAACATGAACAGCCATCATCTTCTTCACCAATGTTGAGTAGTTTGCCTTTGTCTTGATGTTTTTGCTCCATTTTTGTTGATGGCAAGGTTTCTCACAAGATACTATCTGAGATACGCTGAAGACTGATGAAAATTTTCAAAATAATACAAGTTTATATATGCTTTAAGTCACGTGACTCATGACTGTAGACTCCCCCTTGACTGTAGAATCCCCCATGCAACAGTGACTGTAGACTCCCCTTTCGATATGACTTTTCTGTAGATCTGTAGAACACGCTGACTGTAGTTTTCGGCATTACCGATCCTTATTGGCGTCTGAGTTTTGTAAATGTTTCTCCAGTATAGGATTTAGAATTTTTGAAATATAATTTATTCTTCTTTTGAAACGACATCTGTCCAAAGCCATGGTCATCCATTCCCCCTTCCGATCTTCATAGGGAATCAGGATGATCGTTATTTTGTCTGAAAATTTCACCGTATTGTCCATAGTCCCTCTTCTTTGAAAATTCTACATTTTATTCCTGCAACATTTTATATATGATTTTGTGCTTTTAAAATAGATCCATCCATGTGATCTACGGATGCTTTAAGGTACTGCCACGGTGTTTTACTCAAAGTAATTCCTTCGTTCCCCGGTTTTCCGGACTGAAATCGTCGTATGTCAATCTGTATGGTGTCATTGGCACATATCATGGCATATACTTCGTTGGAGAGGGGGTACCGATCCACGTAGGAACATGTTTTAATGACATCTTTTTCCAGTGTAGGGCGTAACACACAGTCTACAGGAGTAAGTTTTTTCTTCTCGTGTAAGACACTGACAGCGACGCACAAAGAAATGATAAGTACAATCGCAAAAAAGCTAGGAATTACGATTACGATTTTTTCTTCAATTTCTCTTTCAACATCCCTTTGCATTCGTTACCACAATCACCTGTAAGAAGCTCCATCATTACCATTTGCTCAGCCATCTTTAAGCAAAATGTTTTGTCTATCTACTACATTGCACATTTATATATATATATATATATATATATATATATATATATATATATATATATATATATATATATATATATATATATATATATATATATATATATATGACCACTCCGTGGGCGGGATTTGGAAAACCCTTTGGTGTCAACTTGAACCTTACAAA